TAACCCAGAGCTTATAATGGCAGGCAGGCTTTATTTCCCCCATTAGTGCTGGGGGAATGAGAGAAAGGAATAGTTACTGGGACCTAGGGTCAGAGAAGGCTATGTGTAGAGTGGCCTGATAAGAACTGAGACCTCTGATTAAGGAATCAGCCAATCCGATGCAATCCTGCAGGGAGAAAGCCAGGGCAGTGAATACTCAACCTCATTCTTCTTCTTTCTGATCGTCTGATCTTCCCCTTCTTTGGCTGAATCCAAACAGAAACAAGAGAGCAAAGAAGTCTCTGATTTTGCCCAGGGGAGTCAATCTCTCAGGCCATGCAGCAGGGTAGAAAAGTATTTATAGACAGTGAATTTGGAAAGAAAAACAAAGATTCCCAGTCCACATTTCTACTCTATTAGTTTGTGTTTTCTATTTATCCTTTTAAATTTTTGTTTTATTTAAGTATAGTTGGCATGCAATAAACTGCACATAAATAAAACATACATGACAAATTTAGACAAACATGTATACTCTTGAAACCATCACCACAATCAAAATAATAAATCACTCCCCCCAAATTCCTTATTTTCCTTTGTTAATCCCTCCCTATGGTTCCTAACCTGCATGCCCAACAATCACTGATCTGCTTCTGGTCACAGTAGTTAAGTGTGCAATTTCTAGAATTTCATATATATGAATTCATGTTACATATAGTTTTTTCATCTAGCTTCTTTCAGTGAGCATAATTATTTGAGATAATTCATGTTGTTGCATGTGTTCATTGCTTTTAACTGCTGAGTAGTATTCCTTTGTATGGATATACCACTAATTGTAAATCTGTTTACCTGTTGATGGACATTTTGGTTGTTTTCATCTGTTGGCTATTACAAATAAAGCTATGAACATTTGTTTTCAAGTCTTGCTATAGATATATGCTTTCATTTTTTTAAAAAAATTAAATATGTAAGAGTTGAGCTGGATCATATGGTAGTTGTATATTTAACTTTTTAAGAAACTTCCAAGTTTCCTAACAGCAGTATATGAAAATTCCAGTTCCTCCACATATTTGCCGCACTTGGTGTGATCCATCTGTTTTATTTCAGCCATTTTGATAGTGGGCAAGGGTATCTCATGTGGTTTTAATGTCTAGTGTCTAGTGCTATTGTGCATCTTTTCAGGTACTTTTCTTGCAATTTACATGTCTTCTTTGGTAAAGTACCTATCTGAATCTTTTATCCAAATAAAAAATTGGTTTTTTGTTTGTTTTGTTTTCTTATTATTGAGATCGTAGAGTTCCTTATATATTATGAGCACTTAAAAATATCAGATATACGATTTGCAAAGATTTTCCTCTAAACGGCAGCCTGTCTTTTTATTCTTTCAGCAGTGTCTTCCAAAGAGAAAAATTTCATGATTCCTCTGAAATCCAATTTAGTTGCCGGGTATGGTGGCTCACACCTGTAATCCTAACGCATTGAGAGTTTGAGGTGGGTGAATTGCTTGAGCCCAGTAGTTTGAGACCAGCCTGAGCAACATGGCAAAACCCCGCCTTTACAAAAAATACCAAATAATCAGCTGTGTAATGATGGCACATGCCTGTAGTCTCAGCTACTTAGGAGATTGAGGTGGGAGAATCAGTTGAGCCAGGGAAGTCAAGGCTGCAGTGAGCTGTGATTTTACCACTGTACTCCAGCCTGGGTGATGAAGTGAGAGACCCTATCTCAAAAGAAAATAAAATTTCAGTTTATCAACTTTTTCTTTCTTTCTTTCTTTCTTTTTTTTTTTT